CTGAACTGGATTGTCTGTCTAAATTTAACTGTAAGCTTCTTGGGGTAGGACCCTTGTCGGGTGAATGCCCACGAAATGCATCCGACGAAGTGGGCATTCACCCACGAAAGCTTATGCTCCAATACATCTGTTAGTCTTAAAGGTGCCACAGGACACTCTGTTGCTTTTCACAGCTAACTGACTCATCTGAAATTGAAAGTATTCCCCGCAGAGAATCCCTGTGGCTCACTGACTATTAATTAGCTCAGAGGTGCAGGAATTATTTGGGGTTTTTACTGAAAAATATAACGGAAACATCCTAAAAGGAAAAAACAAAACAAAATCACACACTCACAAAGCCACTGGACAATCAAAATACCATTATAATATAAATTACAATTAACTCTAACTCTAGTGATTTTATGTTTGTACAACACTTAGCATAATGGGGCCCCAACCTGGTTGGGCTCTTTCAGTGCCACAGCCATACAATAATTAAAGCTGGGGCAGATATATTAGACAGCATGTGGAAGGGAGCAGAGGGAAGCTCCTTGTGCCTTCTTCTACCCAGGAACACCATTAAAATCAACAGATATCTTGACGCCCCTAGACTGCTTTTAAAAATCTCAACCGCTGTATTTTCATTTCCTGGTCTATAAAGAGAACAAATCTCACAGTTCATATACGTCCTCCACTTAGCTCTTCCCAATCACCCGTTGGCACTGAAAGTTTATGTTCTAATGTCCCTGGCCACTAATGACACAGGCATGTCCTGAGTGATTGCGTCTAGGATCTTACAGGACAATTAAGCCTTCAACGTGAAACAGAACTAGGAGACTAAAATGTTTCTGTGCTCCACAGTGTCGTTTCAATGATGGTAGAGCAGAGCTCATGATGAGTGGTGAATTCCTTCCGCCACAGATTTGCACTGAGCAGCTCCCCACAGAGGTGTGACTGCCAAAAGGACTGACCTTGACTTTTTGTTGGTGATGGTATATCTGCCAGGCGATATGAACGTGCATAGCACACCACTTTCCAGGTTTCTGGAGAAACAAAGAAGTGACATGAAATCAAGAACCATCAGAGACACGTGACACTTTTCTGTGGTTATAGTTTACAAGCTTCATTGATTAAACGGTCTTCTTAAGTGTAATAAGGACCTCCTAAAAGTTGGTCACAAATCAGGAGAAACACTGAGGGCCACTCCTCTGCTGCATCCAGAGAGGAGGGGCCGTGAGGGAGCTGGTTTTGGCTCCCTGATTCGGCGACTATCTCCTGCTGGAGATAGCCAGCCATTCCCTCCCAACTCCTGTCCCCTGCATTAGGAAGGAGGCACAGGAGTTGGCTTTGCCAGCGTGAGACCCACTGGGGAATCCCTCACACCAGGACAATGACAGATAAAAAGCATTGCAGGGTGTCTCTGCTTCCTTTGCATCACCACGGGAGCAAAGTGGGGCAGAGATTCTGCCCCTGGGTTAGGGCTTTATCTGACCTTCCAGAAACACTATGGGTCATCACCTTCTCAAAAAACAAAAAATCTATCCTTGATTTTATCAGCTCTTCTGATGCCAGCTAGTGCTACTCAGGTGGCTGAGAACATGGCTTACCTCAGCTGAAATCAATGATGCGGTATATGCTAATCCACATCAGTTATTTTGCATAAGTAGCGCACGTCACAACTGTACATCAAGTGTAACGATTCTAAAACACTAGCTTCATCAACAAAGAGGTGAAAAAAAAATCATTTTTTTTTTAAATCAGCCCAGTGCTTAAAATTAGCCTGACTCCCCCACTATAACTTGGTCAACTTTGCCTTCAAGTCCTTCCATAATTTACTTTTAGCTACGGGATATGTTGAAGAAGTTGGTAGGCCAGTCAACTCACCCTTGTTGTGTGGGTGAAACCCTGCTTAACCTGAATCTGAATCTGTCCTCTTACCTGTATTTCATATTATTACGGAAACACACTCTGTAAAACACCTGCTAGTGCTAGTTGTTTGTTTGCTAAGAGTTCAGGAAGTCATTTCTTAAAAGGAAACATCTAGGATATTCCTTCCCAAACACTGTTAATTAAGCGTATATACTCCACATCTAACATCTGTTCAGATTTAAAAATGGTCACAGGAATGAGGGGAATTCTTCAAGCCACCTGTGGCTTAAAGGCTGTACAACCTGGTAGTATTCTTACAAGCCTGGACTTCACAGGCAGCATAACATGGCAAACAGCTCTATTTTCTGTTTCTAGGTGTTTTTCTTTTTTAGAGTTTTTATAGAGCAAGCAATTACTAAAAAACAAAACCAAACAAAACCAATCCAAAAAAACCCCCCAACTTCTGCACATCCATTGAGTCTGGCTCTGCTAGTGAATATACTGAGTTCTATTCTCCATATTTTCAAAAAGTTAGACTTCCAAAGAAACTTAGAAAAATTAAAAAGGCATCCGTACTGCTTTGAGATGACCTTTTAATTCCTGGCTTTCCAAGTCTGAACTGGATTGTCTGTCTAAATTTAACTGTAAGCTTCTTGGGGTAGGACCCTTGTCTCAGTTCAAGTTTGGTACAGCACTGAACAACACTGATATGGCAAAATAGAAATAAAAGACTAAATACAGCAGTCTTTTCCCAGGCAAAACAAAAACAGAGTTTTGCCTGGCTAGTACTGCAGGATTTGTCTCAGTAAACTTTGTGAGCCAGAAAGAAAGAAAGATCATCATATTTAACCTCCAGAATTCATTGTGTTAGTGGGTTGTGTAAGAAGCACAAACAATAACTTCAAAACCATGCATATTTCACTTGAGTGACCACAAGATACAGGTATAGAGGGACCTACCACACTATTTAACAAACATTCCACAAATGTTCCAGATATAACATGGCACTCCTTCATAATTAGTCTGCATTTTAATCCACTGGGAGGAGTGTATCAGAAGAAAGTGTCTTACCCTCAACATGGGCCTGAACGGATCTGTCAACTGTGAAGAAAAAATGACAACTTGGTTACATGCCTGTCACTCAAACAATTGCTCTAATTAACAAATTGGTATTGCTTCATTAGGAGATGAAATTAAAATGTTATCATTTTACTTTCAAATGAAGTCCTTTTGGAGAATAATTAGTCCTTTGCCTCGGTATTAGAGCCAATCTCCTTCCCCCTCCCCCGTGACTGTTGTACATAAGTGTTGACAAGCAACTAAACAAGTCTCATAAAGAGCGTTCTGCCCTCCGGCACTATTATTAATTTGTTGATTTAACACTATAAAAATGGAAATGTTGTTAATCTGGAGAAAAACATGGCTATGGCCTTTGGGCAAATTTCTGTTCATATATTTCTAAAGTGGCTAACTCGGGAGAAGATTGGGAAGGGGTCTTGGCCACCTTTCTGCAGACCTGCTGGAAAGGATTGGGTTGGAACTGGCTGGAATGGCACTTTGAAAGTGCCACCACAAACCAGCAACTGTGTCCGTTCAGTGACTCTGGTTTTAAAAAAGGGCACCTGGTGCTCTACTTATAAAATTCGAATAGACAATACAGACTGGCATTGACCGGTTGTCGATGGTTTCTCTGCAACGGATCAGCTTTGACTTAAAAGAGGGATTTTCACACTGGAACAAATGTGGATAAAGCATGTTTACACAAAAAGCATTTTTTGTTTGGTTGGTTTTGGCCAGATATTTTCTGTCATCCTCCTTTGCTCATGCTTCAGCTATTTATATTTTGACTAGCTTCAATAATTAGCAATGAAAATATAAAATCAATTCATTAGTTATTTCTGATATGTTTGGATGTCCCTCTTGAAATGCAGTGATAAAAGGGAAGGGAGGTTTACAGATATAAGAGGATGCTTTGCAGGAAGCAGTGATAGCATAATATATTATCTTGGAACAATCAAAACTAGGCTACAAGTTGAAAGGAAGTATACAGCTAAATGACTTAATGGAAGAAGCTCTCATTAGCTTTTCAACTAGATGAATGCACAGAAACAAAAATGCACAATTTCTTTTGGTACAAAGCCAAAGTGCAGCACCAGTTGAGTTGGGACCCAGCATAAAACTCATAATTCAACACCGGCAAATAGCCTTACACTAAATAAAAGCTGGGCCATCTATAGCAGCGTGGATTTTTTCATTGCTTTCAAATGGGGAGTTCTGGTTAAAAACTGACAGGATGATGTCACTCATTGTAAACAACAATTAATAGATGAATATAAATTCCTAGCCTGCCTATGGACATTCATCACCAGGATTCATTTGCCTGTAAAATGGAAAAATGCTGACAGCTGAACAGTCAAGACTAAAATAAATAAATAAATTGTACAATTTGGACTTAAAAATCCAAGAGCGCCAAACGATCAACCAAGAGCATCAGTATTTCATCAGCTTAATCAATACTATAGTAAATATGGGAATACATGTCATAATCCAGCATTAAAAACAATTACAGCCTATCAGCAAATAAACCTTACAATAGATTTGGTGTTTATCCTTTTACTCCTGAGGTTGGGAGGCTGTTATAGGAAAGAGCTTTTCCATTGCATGGTATATGCTTTGTGCTAATGATTAAAGGCCATTCCTTTAAGTTGTTATGAGCCTGATCATCCACCCATTGATGTTAAGGGTAAAATTCCCATTGACTTTAATTGTGCAGGATTAAGCATTGTCTACACTTACGGCAGTGTGCAGCGTATAGGCACTTCGCATGTAGCTATATGCTGTTGTGAAAGGCAAGCTGCGCCCACGCTTATCACTGCAGTGTGTAGCTGCACAAGGCAGTGAAAGGCTCCAGTAGGTGGAAGAAGCAGGGAAAGGCTCCAGCAGCAGAGAGCTTGATCCTTTCCCAGCTGCCTCCCCGCTGCTAGAGCCTCTCCCCGCTACCAGAGCCTTTCACTACAGCAGGGAAAGGCTACAGCAGCAGGAAGGCTGTGGGACACTATGCTGCCAAAAACAGCAGTGTAAGGTGGAAGGCACTGCTTGGTTATGTAAAGAGCAATGTATGGTATATACCATAGGGTTCAAACGTGGAGTGCACTCTAGTCTACTTGCCTAAGCCACACGTCACCGTCTACTCTGCTATTTATACCCCTCCTAGGTGGGTGTGCAGTGCCTGTACTCTACAAGCTGCTGTAAGTGTAGACCTAACTTAAGATGCTCTTCTAGCTACCGGACGGGTCCTACCTCAGCACCGGGGATGGCCTGGACGACCTCTAATGTCCCTTCCTGCCCTACATTTCTATCCATCTATGAGAGAGGCTCTTGTATTCCTAAATTATCTGGATTATTAGTTTTAGTGACATTCTCATCTAAAATGGCATAACATTTCCAACATACCCTGGGGTCTTTCTGCAGGAGGGTATGTGGGACAGTTCCTGGTCTGGCTGCGACATCAATAGGATTGGAAGTCTACAAATGTTACAAGAAAATATCATTAGTTGTGACAAAATTAGTGGGTAAACATTCCCTGTTTAGAGTTAATATTCCTTAAAGAATAAAGACGACATTTTAAAAAGGAAGGGAAGGAACACATCATGGTTTAGTAAAATGTATAATACAGCCTCAATTTTCCAAACTTCATTGTCTGAGATCTTCTGATTATTCAAAACAGGGTGAACAGAATCATGTAATACAAGAGCAATAGTTACATTGAAAGTTCAGTCCATAGTCCAAAACTTGATTAGCCAGACTTATACAATGTCCACAGTGGTATTTGGAGCATCACGCTTGTACTGTATTGCTCATCAATTTTATCACCCGGAAATAATCCACTGATGGCTGTCAGTGACATCAATACACTGAAACAGACTAAGGATTCTAACTTCATTGTCAATACACAGTTTATCAGTCATTTTTGTAGTTGTTACAATGATTTAAACACCATTAAAAATGATTGACTAACACACAGCTATCAGAAAATGGCAACGCCTCTTTAAACAAACAAAAAGCTTTCCCCATGGTTTAGATTTAAATATTCAGCTAATATAACAAAATGCATCACTTTGGAAAAAGAACCACCCTAGGCATTGCAACTTCCCACATTAAAAAAACAAAAAGAATAGAAATGAGCTGCCGTACAACTAATTAAGCAGCAGAGCTGTTAACAGCCTGATTACTATACATATGAAGAGCTCCACTAATGAACTGCAATCTACATATTCAATCAATAAGCTGGATCGGCCTATTTAAGAAAAAGAGAGAATCTTCTCTGTAGAGATTTGCACCCTGATCCAGCAAAGACCACAGGGCTATTGAGCCTGATTCTCTCCTTACTTAAGGATGACTTCATTAAAGCCAAAAGAATTACATTGGTTCACAACAGATCTAAATAAGAGGAGAACCAGGTTCATGGTTTTCGATGATGGTGGAACTATCAAGTAACACTACATTCAAGAAATGAATTTTAAAAAACCTTGTTTATTAAACGAACTTGCATCCATTTTCAAATCAGTCATATCTGAAAATTAGTTGGCTAGATTCTGAACTCAGTTACCACAGTATAAACCTGAACTCCATTAAATTATTTCTCATTTCAGCTACACCAACGTAAAACTAGAGTTACCCAGCTGTCGTCAGTGGGATTACTCCTGAATTACATTAGTGCAACTGATATTTGAATCTGATCCAAACCCTAAACCTAATTTACATTTACCAAATGTAAACGAATACACAGGTCATTTTTATTTTTACCTTAGGTTGAAATGCTCCTTGCAGTGAGCCAAAAGGACCAGTGGGAGGAATCATGGGAGGAATACCTGATACAGCTGGAGGATAGGAGTGAAACAGCTGTAATCAAAAGATAAAAGAACGTAAGGGGACATTTTCTAAATACAAATCTAGTAATTCCAGAAAGAAAGAAAGCATTCCTGTATAATATTGAGAAAATTGAAAAGCACTGAAGACATGATCTCACTGCAACAATGTTAGTTAAAGCAGTCAATGAAATGTTCACAAATGTCATGAATGTTTACTTTAGAACTTAAAAGTAGTTTACAAATCAAACAGCCAGCAAGCTAGTCTCTGGATTAGGACATCATAATATAAAAGGATCTTTTGCAATTGTTAATTTTTAAATTGGATAGAAGTCACCGATTTTAAACTATATCAAAAACAAGGGAGGACTGCTAAGCCAAATAAGACTCATAGAAAATTACTATTTAATTGAAAAAACCAATCCTCATGAGTTCTAAGATTTTACTCCATTAAAACTCAATTAGTACTTTAGATTTTAATAGTATCTGTAGGAAATCAGAAAATATACACAATTCTTACTTCATTAGCCTGTCTTAGAGGATATCCTGTCACATCTAATATTAGAATAGAGATAATCTGATGTGCCAAAACCCATCATTTAAACAAATAGTTGTGGCAGCAAAAAAGTCTAAATTTAGAGTATCAATTTCTATAGCGATAGAGCCCTGAAGCACAGAGGCGCATAAATCCCTAGGGAATATATGCCTGAAATATACCCTGCTGGCCTCAAGGGACCTTCTTATTTTAAACGAGCTCAGTCACACAAGCTTTTCTGTGCAGTGCACATGCGCAAACTGGAGAACAAACCAAATCAACCATATTGTTCAAATTTCATCCTGCCTTTGTGGTCAGACTGTGAATCCCTTACTCAGCTCCTCACATCATCAGTTCCATTGAAGTCAATGGGACTACTTGGGCAGCTTCCTACTGTGGGAGTCAGGGGTTGACAGTGTGACCTAAGAGTATATCTTCACTGAAGAGTTAGCCTGGGATCTTACCTGGGTGTTGTTCCTAACCACTTTCCTGTCCACATGCGAAAAATTCTAACCCAGATTTGGTGGTGCTTGAAACCCAGGCTAGCGGGCACATGTGCCATGTGTGACTGTTAAAAATCTACCTCCTAACAGAGCTGTTCAAAGATAAATCTTCCGTATGTGCTACTTTTAAGATCAAAATAAATGCTGTGTTTCATGAGTTAATGGCTGATTGAATAGAAGTGGGATTGGGCAAAGTAAAAGATTGGACATGGGCACCCACTAATTAAAAGAATGGGCACCCACTAATTAAACCACATTCCCGTGTAAACCAAACGTTTCCAAAGTTTTGATCAATTTATTTCGCTTAATATACATATGTACATAAAGAGTTCCTTTTCCCTCCATTATCCTCTCCCACAAGGTCAGTTAATCATGTTATAGTGACTGAGAGCTGATAAATGATTTCAATATTGTATCTGTACCCAAAGATTTCTTACCTAAACAATATGGTATGAAGTCTCCTTTCATAGCACATTCCCATTGTTGCTTTTAATTCTGTTTTATTTGAACCTGCTCTTTTCGAAGATGCAGAAAACATTTCTGGATTAGCTAATATTGAACTGAAGGCATTTGAGAAGTCATTATTAGGCACGTGTCCTCCTTTACAGTAACTTTTAATGCCTAAAATATGTTTGAAATACTCTAGTGTCTACTGCATTTAATTCTCCATATAATGTGTTAACTCCAAAAGGTGGAGAGAGACATATTATTTAATATATTATTGAATATGACTAATAATAAGGAATGGTTTCCTTACAGTTTTACAATTAAATATATGTGATCTTTCTTCAAGGTCAGAATTATTATAAAACACAGATGATATTTCTCAATTATCTCTGTATCAGTCAAACTAGGTCAGCTTTTATAAGTTATTTTTCATCTTCAGTGTTTCCTTTTGCCCCTGAATATCCTCTATTTGCACACCCTTTTCCTCTTCAGCTTTCCTCATTAGAAAATTCAGGGGCCACTTGTGAAATTGGACTACAGCTCCCCTGAAATACACCCCAATGATAATGCAAAGGCTAGCGGCTGTTTCTCTGATCTTGACCCATTCATAAGGATAATTTCTTACGGTATTGCTTTAAGGACCTGAAACAGAGACAGATACTGTGACCAAAGAGGTCAAGAAAGGAGAAACAAATGATTTGAGCCTCTGCTCTAGACCACATGCATCTTTCTTCCCCGTGTATTTTCAAATCTACGACAGATTGGATTCAACTCCAAAACGGGCCTTACATTTGTTCTCCGGCAGTGTTAGGTTATATGGTGACTGATTGTTCTTTCGGCTTTAAGACGATTGACAGATTTTCTCAAGATAAGCCTAATTCTCAGGGCGGGTCTACACTAGACACTTCTGCTGGTAAAGTACATTTCCAGGCTGCCAAAAGCCCTAGTGTAGATGCAGTTATGTGAGCATAAAAGTGCTTTTGTGGTACAGCTTATTTTGCTTGGGGAACAGGTATAAGCTAGATCTCTTTTGCCAGTATAAGCCTCATCTATACTAGTAAGGTTTGCCAGTATACACCAGCAAGCACCTTTTCTACTGTAGACTAGGCCTTAGTTTAAATAAGGATATGAATCCAGTGGCAATGTGACAAAACATCTGACTACCCCTAAGGCAACAAAATCTAATAGACTTTACAAAGCATCAATCAGAAAGGGTCATGATTACTTAAGCTATGTCTACACTAGCACTATTGTCAGTAAAACTTTTGTTGGTCCAGGGTGTGAAAAAACACCCCCATGACCGACATAAGTTCGCTGACAAAACTGCCGGGATGGACAGCGCTATATCGGTGGGAGATGCTCTCCTGCCGACATAGCTACTGTCGCTTGTTGGAGGTGGTTTCATTATGCTGGCAGGAGAGCTCTCTCCTGCCGGCAGAGACTGGCTACATGTGAGACCCTGCAGCGGCGCAGCTGCAGCGGTACCGCTGTAAGGTCTGTAGTGTAGATATAGCCTTAGACTATAAGCTTTTTGGGACAGGGACCATCTTTTGTGTTCTCTGTTTGTACAGCACCTAACACAATGGGATCCTGGTCAAAGACTGGGGCTCCTAGGCTCTATGACAGGGGTCGGCAACCTCTGGCACGCGGCTCGCCAGAGAAAGTACCCTGGCTGGCCGGGCCAGTTTGTTTACCTGCTGTGTCGGCAGGTTCGGCCAATCGTGGCTCCCACTGGCCGCGGTTCACCATCCTAGGCCAATGGGGGCTGCGGGAAGCAGCGTGGGCCGAGGGATGTGCTGGCTGTGGTCGGCCGAACCTGCCGACATGGCATATCAACAAAATGGCCCGGCCACCCCGGGGGGGTGCCCCCGGGGGGGCCGCGGCCGA